AACCCAAAGTCAAGGTTGAAAAACATATATATATATACATATGTCTAGGGTTGCTCGCGCCAAAACAAACGCAGCGCCAACTTTTTTGGACTCCAGTGGGAAGCTGCATGTGAGATGAGATGGAAAGAACATATCGGAAGTTGGTATGTATGAGAAAATAGAAAGCTCATCACAATCAAGAAATGATGGTTTTTGGATGGAGATTGACGAAACACTACCAAGCACGGGTGGCATCTGCTGCACAAATACGCACATGGGGTGCATTGCAGCCAGGTGCAAAGGGTGACACAGCTTGCCCACCTGCAGGCCAGCTCATCCGAGCAGTGACTGTCACTGCTCTGACAGGAGGTTCTCACGAGGGACGCAAACAAACAAAACAAATCCCTCCTTCTCAGTGCTGCTACAAGGTACATTCTTCAAAGCCGATTCTTTCTCCACTTTGGTTGGGAACTCTTTTGGTGGCAGTACTATATGTGTTGCAAGCGCCTTGTGTGTCTCTGAAACTGTGTGCTTTTGGACAACTTCTGGTGCACTGTTCAGTTTTGGTCAGCTTCAGAGCTCGAAAGGGCGACCTTTATTTTCGGGATTTTTTCCGACGCGTTTTGGGATTTTTTCCGCACTGTTTGTGGTATTTTGTGGTCAGGGGTTGCCACAAAGAGAAAAAGAAAGATAACTAGCGCAGGAGGCAAGGGACAAATGAGTAGAAGGAGAAGGAGAAACATGATAAAAGGAGAAACAACTAGCATAGGAGGCAAGGAACAGAAGAGTAGAAGGAGAATGAGAAAAAGGAAAAGGAGGACAAGTAAGCCCATGCATGCATATGTAGTGTATGTATGTAAGTTTGTCTGTGTATGTATGTATGTATGTATGTATGTATGGATGCAGGCAGGCAGGCAGGCAGGGAGGGAGGGAGGGAGGTATGGATGTATGCGCTTGGTTGTTTTCTTGGCTGTCGTGCTGCGCTGTAGCAATGCCATCAGTAAAAAGAGCGGGAGGGGGTGCGGGGGAGGGCGCAGCGCCCCCCCCGCAAAAAACAAAGTATAGTGACCATCCCGGCACTGACACATTGCTCCTTCCTCCCTTCCTCCCTTCCTCGCTTGCTGGCTTCCTGGCTTCCTTCCTTCCTTCCTTCCTTCCTGCCTCCCTGCCTGCCCGCCTGCCTGCCTGCCTGCCTTCCTTCCTTCCTTCCTTCCTCCCTCGAAGACAACAGAACCTGGAAAAAAAATCCCAAAACACGTTGGAAAAAATCCCACAGAAAATGGGGTTCCCTAGCTTTAAGGCTTTGGACTTTGACTCGGAATCCCGATCAGTGGAGTTGGTCGACGGGCCGATCTGTTCGGACCAGTCTGCCGTCGCAGAAGCTTGGCAGATGTGGTACCTCTTTTGGTTGAATGCAAACGAAAAGCTCAGCAGCTCGTCCTTTGTAAGGAGGACAAGCCTTCCAACACGCGAGAACTCGGTCTAAAATACGTACTCCTGTGCTTTTGGCGCTCGCAGCGGATATGCGCAGTCAAGGTTGTTGTGCAGCGGACCCCATCGAGGTCTTGGCTGACATGGCTCTTAAGCTCTATGAGAAGCATGCCATCTAGAAGAATGCCAAACCTTCATCGTCTGGTATGGCATAGTCCAATGGATGGGCCCCGCGCAAAATAATCGCGCCGATTCGTTCCAAGGTCCCTATAGGCATGCCACCACCCGAGAGCTTTGTCTGTATGAAACAAGGCTTTTGGGACAGTGTTTGCAAATCTAGCTGCCCAGGAGACAGAGCCGAAACTTGGGTTCAAGCTCTTGCAAGAAGGATTATGTCCAACGCACGATACAAATTTGAGCGAAGCAACAAGAACTGGAGCCGAGCCCGCTTTGATGGGCTGTGGAGGGGGATGGCTTTGATGCCGAGGACGCTTACACGGTCGCAGAGTAAGGCTTTCTGAAGAGAAGCGCCAGTTAAGTCCTTATCACCGTGTATCCGACCGTCTGAGCGATCGTCTGGCTGCGTATACGTCACCTGACACTCTTCGCCCCGGCGCCGGACTGCGCGCAAGCCCGGGAAAGCGTGGGCCGATTCCGCAGGGACAGCGCGAATGGATGAGCGCTTTCCACCCACTCATGCAGAAAAGCAATCTGGCATTGCCAATCCACATGTCCTTGACGGGGCAGCTGGGGAGCGGTTACCCACGACCTATGGAGTGACTTGTTGGAATTCATGGCCAACATGGGGTCATCACTTAAGTGGGAAGCATTTGTTGACCGTTTTGGGACCGGCTGGACAGCCCTTTGGCTTGCTCTCTCATTCTCTTGGGTTCTTAGGCTTGAGCACCAGCAAAGCAAGTTCTTGTTGCCGGACCTGCTTTCATGCTGTCTACCTTGCTGGCTTTGGCCAGGGCGATCGGGCCAGTTGTCTTGTGTACATGCTAGACCAGATCTTTGGTGGGAGCAACGTGGATTTACAGCTACACACCTCAAGCTCCGCTTGGCGCATGTAGAATCACATGTTCCACAACAGCTCGCACACGTACAGTTTCAACATGTTTCAACCAGCCTTTGTTGATCCACAAACAAGGTTTTGCTTTAATCTCCAACTTCAATAGGGGATTGCCAACGGGCTTTGTATGACAGCGAACCTTTGGCTGGCTCCTCGCCCAAAAGCAATTGCAACTTTCATTGTTGGGTTATCTCGACTAGCTTTGGTGCCAATCTCACACACCTTCGCGTCACCCTTCGAACCCCGCGCGGGAAACCCGAACCGGACGGTGGAAAAAGCGATTCCTTCTCTGTCACTGTCAGACCCCTATTGGTGTTCGTTCGCCAAAGTTAATTCCACCGCTTCCAAAATGTTGAGAGACAGGGACCAGGCTCTGGGGCTGGGGAAAAAAAACCATGTCCAATGTCTAGTGCGGGGCTGGGTCCCTGACCAATCCGGCCAGCTGCCAGGTCGCGGATGCACAGGTAGGAGGGGATTGGGAGGGTTTTACAGGTGTAGCTGACTTCATTCAGTCTGTTCACAAACCAATGCTATTATCAGGAATCAGGACTTTTGATGTTTCGTCTCAGCTTCCAAAATCCAAGAGCCTAAAACGCATACAGTCACACAGTCAACCGCAGGTCACGGTGTAGGTGTGTGTGTGTGTATATATACATATCATATATTATATAACTATATATACCCTTGCATTCCAAAGGCTATTTTAACAATAGCGTTTCTTTGAAAGACGCTTTCCCAGAATTTCATAATGTGCTTTCGTAATCACGGTACAGCTGGCATTTTACTCTTGATGTTTCCTTGAAATCAGTGTTAAGCACCCGAGAAGTGCCCAGCTTTTTCACTCACTCAAGGCCAATCGTAGCAGATCGATCCATACCAATCATCTCCTGCTCCTTAGACCATACAGCTCCAATCGATGGCAAAAAGTAAAAACACTCTGGTCTTCAAGCAAGTCTGATGTTCACCCACTGTGAACTTTTTCATTTTTTAGTGCATCCTAGAATCCTTTGTCGATCATTGCGGAATTTCATGCTCAGCAGCCTGCACAACACCAACAGCACAGCTGGCTGCAAGGCTACAGAAATCACAATTCGGACGCGTCCATTTAGAGATTTTCAAGATATGAGCGCCTCAACTTGGCACAACGTAGGAGCCATACATGTCGACGCTTAGGGTGTGCACGCGCTGCCAGCCCTAGGTTTGAGGTGAGAAGCCATCCATGCTAGCATACACTCGCAATATGGCAGGATGAGGCAAAGAGAATAACAGGTGTTGTTGCCAAGCCTGCAGGAGATTTTTGCAATTATTTGGATAGCATGATCAGGGATTCAGGCCATATAAGAGCTTCCTAATTCCTTTGTGTGTTGAAAACCTCTTAGGTCTTTTTTGGGCGAGTACGCAGCACAGTACATGGAAGCCTTCTATCCTGGGAACGCGTCTTTCCAAGAAGCACTATTGTTTTTTTAAATAGCCTTTGAAATATTAGGGTGACACTAAAGACGTAAAAACACATCCGCCCACACATATGTCCGAGAGGCCCTTAACAAGCCGCATCCCATCCTCGTCGACGAAAGTGTGCACCATTCGGCAGTTGACTCCTTAGGCGGTGGCTGAATGGCCACAGTCCCAAAAAGCGTTGCACAGAACACAACATGCAACAGGGACCAAGGACACCACATGAGCTAGATTGCATCCAAAGATTCTGTAACGAAGCGTATCTTTCAAAATATGCGCCAGAACCTCACTACCCATTGCTGCATGTTGCAGACGTCATATATACCACACAGTTTCACATCCGCAACGTAAAACATAATTCAGCAACAAGATTGACATTCCAACCAATGGTTGAGCTTAGCTGCATGGTGTTTGGGGCGCATGAGCCACCTATTTTGCTGCATCCTCCAAGGGCAGAAGCAAAGCTTTCAAGCGACAACAAGCTGCACATGCACCTCACATACAAGCAAAAGGTTGTGAAACAAGATGTTGGTACGACATGTTATGTTTAAACAAAATTGTACTGTCCTGATGTGCTCCACACAAAGAATTCTGTGGAGTTCCAAGTAGCGCATGCCCTCATCATGAACTTGTTGGGCAACATGCTCACTCCTCAAAGCTGGTCACCCAAGAAAGCAACACAGGTTGAAGACAAGTACCACCCAAAGCACTCGACACCTGAGCCCTGAAGAATGCCGACCCCACGATTCTTTGGTGGCTCAGAATGGGGTGTGATCACGAACATTGACCATCAAAACCCAACGATGTGGTGCAAATGTTTTCTTTGGAGAGACGCGCAAGACCAAAAGCATGGACCAGTGTTTTGAATCAATCCAGCCGAATCAGCGCAAAAGTGATCACAGAAAAGTGTTCACATCAGAGAGCTCAGTTGGTTTGGAGTCATGCTGCTATTCCCCGTGTTGGAAACCAGGAATATGAGTCAATAGTTCCCCCCTAAATGCACCGAAGATCAAAAATCGTCCATGGCCTTCGATCAGCGCAAAGAACTTGGTCATAGCATTCCTCACAAGGCATGGCAGAGCGGAGTGGGAAGTGGTCTGGGGCAACGGCCAGTGTTCAACCTCCAATTATACCGCAAACTCACAGCTAATTCGATTGGTAGTATAGAAGGCTGGGATAAGAAAAGGGTCAACCTGACTGGATGGGTGGGACCATGGAATGACCACCATACATGTCCAAGGTTCAAAGCAGCACTAGTGAGATTCAAAATCTCATGGTTAGGGTGCAGATCAAGCGCTTCCAGCAGGGCATGGTTCAGCCAACTACAGATGACCCTGCCATTGTAGGCCTTTGCAGTCAACATCTCATCGCCATTCCGTTTCTTGACCTTAGCTAGTTTATGTGCAAGGAAGAGTTCAAGGATGCTCGAATCAGCCATGTCCCACACTTTAATCAAGGACACATTACTTTGACCAACCATGATCAACCCAGTCCCACCCTTAAAGACCAAGCTGCCATACGCGGAATAAACGGCGGTTGCGAATGGGGAATCCGCCGAGCACGGCAAAATCCCAAGAAATTTGCATAGGCCCGATCCAATTGTTGATCGAAAGCGCCACCCCCGAAGAATAGCAAATCTTCACACAGCAAAAGCCTGAGCAAAACCCCAGGGACCGCCCTGGCAGGCCCCTGCCCCCTTGTTGTGTCACAGGTGATGGCGTTTGGAAGCTGGAAGTTTGGATCTCCACGCTGGGGGCCTAGTGACTGACACTTAAAAGTGCCAAGATGCAAGGCTCCTCCATTGCAAGCAAAAAGCAAACCAAGGTTAATTGCATGCATGCTGCAGAACTTTAGGCATCCAGGATGGAACCCTTTGAGCATCAGCAAAGGGCCTAGGATTGGCAGTTCAAACTAGTCCGAAATACCGATTGTTTGGAAGTTACCAATCTTTTCAAAGGTGCTACGTCGAAAGAATTCCATAAATGTCCCCACCAATGATCCATCTTCACACTGCTTTTGAGGTTATAAGCTGTCGTCCAGCATCCAATCAACCAACACACGGACCATGTTTGAGGCATTTGAACGAATATGGCATGGCTCCATTAGATCATGAACCCTAAAACATGTTCGAAGCATATCACCTAGCAGCAAAGGTTGGTCTCCTTTAGGCGTCGTGCCACAAATTGCTGTAGGCTAAATTCATAGCGCAGCCAAGTGCTGCTCTCTGAGTTGTTGTAGTAAATGTGGCCATCGTCGTCATCTCCAGGTAGCAACTTGGCAACAGCCGGGCACCTGTAGCAGACCTCCCTGGACTGCCATGAGGCCGTGAATCTAAAGATGTCACGAAACCATTCCCAGTCACCTCTCAGCTCGCACATGCAAAACTGCAAGCCAGTTTTGCATAGTGGTGTTCCCGCTAGCTTTGCAGCTCTTCCAAAAAGTGGGCCACCAGCTGGTCCCGTTCTTGGATGTATCCCTTCAAAAGCTGAATTTAGCGACCAGGTCAAGCGGCGAAACACAACGTTGAGTGACCGGTTCTTGATGAGCTTCTCTCTTGGGCAAGTGAAGACCAAAAACCGGCTGTGGCGTACACTCGTTGGGCGAAAGTGTATGATGTTGATGTGGATGGCGACCATTTTCTCGACTTGGTAGATTGTCCACAGCCTTGCCCCGTCACCGTGAAGGCCAAGTGGTACATGGGCCTCTGTGGCTGGACTGGCCAGTGCCCACGGCTCACCCATAGCACGCGAATGCTGCCAAAATCTTGCAATATCCTGATGGTCAAGCTGGATTCCAACCTCGTCAAAAAGATAGCTCAATATAGAGTGTGGATCAATGATCGGAAAACTTTCCACACTCACCTTTCCAGGCACTTTGTCGTTGAAAACTGGTATGCGGATCTGGTTAATCTCCTCACTGAAGACAGGAGCTCCCTATCGATATAAAGGTCAACAATTCAAATTTGAAATTTGTTCATATCTAATGGGCAATGAGGAAACGACATCACCCCCAAAAAGGTTAAAGGTAAAGGTTATCGACGGACTGGGTAGACAGTTGGTCCAATTCAAGCCAAAGAAAGCCAGGGGCCACAGTGCCCAAAGTAGAATACAAAAATCCACCTGTTAAGCTGGGAGATTAGCATTTCCAAGGTAAGTACCATTTGGGCACCCTACCCAGGAGGAACAACGATGGTTTCAAGGCAAGGAGCCACTGCAATGTCAGTAAACCGCCAGAAGTCACGCACATTGTTCTTGCCAGATTTGGCACCAAGTTGAAGTGTTTGTTGGTGGCAAGCAGTTCCAGCTTCCTGACACGTGAACCATGCCACTTGTAGATCCAAGAGCGAACGTCCCCACCCAAAAAACCCTTGCTCATGGACAATGAACAGGGCTCAGTTAAACATAGGCTTTGTTGGAAAAAAACTGCAGGCCCCGTATCGACAGTTGGCTTTGTTATATAGATCCGTCTAGATCCCACCATATCCCACCACCAATTCAACATGACAACGATCCTTCTTTGTATCGGAGTATATCTTGCAGGCCCCTAACCTCCAGTGCCCTGTGTGGCCAAGGCTCGGCCACCTGCTCCTTCACCCTCCGCATCACTTTGGCACGGGAGGACGCCTGGGACTGGGATGCCATGCAGGCAACTTCAACCCGTTTTCAATTTCACAACCTCCCCCGGAAGTATTCCCAAGGTTTGTTCACAACACAACAATTTGGAAATCTCACCTGAATGTATGCAGTTGTTGATGCACATCACACAGCAATAAAAACTATGTGTCGACGTCAGGCTTGGCAAATGCAACCTAGCAGCGCCGCCAGCGACATCATCATAGTGCCCATGCAGTGTATGCGGAACAGATGATTCAGCACCTGCCCACGGACGGCACACAGTCCGAAACCTGGTCGCACAAGTATCACTGCATCACAGCTGTTTTCCTCACAAGCATGCTGCATGCATGTATACGCGTATGTATTATGTAGGTAGCATACATGAATTCATACACCTTTTGCTCATTTTCCTTCGGGTGGCTCAACTAACCAAGCTTGCGTGAATCCACACATGCCTGGATTTTCTTTCCACTCTCCCCAAAAGTCTTGACTTCGAAAGCTCGGTGTAGCGACCAAATCAAGAGCGGCACAAAACCCTTCCCTAGTACAGTGGAAAGCCTAAATACACTGTTGGGTTCCAGCATGTCAGTGCAATTATATTGCAGTGTCACATAGATCTATAGATGATCATAGAACGTTTTGCGCTACAACCGATGTACAGGACAGATCATTCGTCCTGCAGCGGGGCAACAAAAAAATGCCCAGGTTCCCAGGATGCATTATGCATCAATCAATCCTCACTTGATTTTGTAAGCTTGCAAGAAGGAAGTAAAAGATTTACCCACACGCTCAGCTTCCTTAATGCAGGCCGGCATGGTGCCCAAATTGTCCGCCTGAATCGCATCGAAGATCAAACAACAAGATTGGGGTTCAGTAATCAATGTCTGAATTGGGTGTCCAATCAAGTGAAATGTCGGCAGGATTGTTTGCTTGATTGGAATCGTTCAAAGTTCCATCAATTGTTACACTGAACTCTACCTACTGAAGTCTACCTGGCCTTCGCCAGATCAACAGCTTTCTGAAGCTTGCCACGCATAGTCTTCAGGCTGGTGATGTGGGGCTTGACTTCGGCCAGAATGGCATCCGAAACGCTTTTGCTCCTTGACGTTGGTTGAGCGGGGCGGGATTCAGTGGGTCGGCTGAGCAGAACAGGATTCAGTGGGTCGACCACGCCTTGTGATACCCAGTGGACTCCTCCAAGATGGAATCTGTTAAATTCTTTTTGAGGCACCCCTCCACTATGAACTCTTGAGAACTATGAAGCATATTCTGAATTTTGCCTATAGGAGCTTGGCCAATGGTATATGTATATTATATAGAAACCTGAGTTCATCACTTCGTGGACAATTTGATTGTGCTAATTTGCTCAAAGTGTGAGATCGAAACCATTACAACATCTAAGGGGGGATGAGGCCCAGATCAAATTTGCTCCACATACAAGATGAGGTTGATGGAGGTCAAGAAAAGCGGCCCCACCACCCAAGATTGCAGCCATGCGGCATGTTATGGAGCTTGTCTTCCAAGAACGCCGCAGTCGAAATCTGGTTGTTGATCTTCGTCAAGGCCTGGCAATGCACACTCAATTCCGGAATTTAGGTGGGAACCAATTGGCAAAATGGGTTGCTGGCTTAGATTGGACGATCACCAGGCCCTATAGCGAGGATCCTGCAAAAACAAGAAGCTATTGGCATCAAGAATGGTTTTCGCTTTTCTCAAACAAAGTACACCACCTGACTTGCTTGGACTGCAGACCGGGGATGAGACACAGGCCCTTGCAAGAACGGAATTCCGGAATATATCAAGTCCTCAACAAGGTTAATTTGGTGCAACCTGTATTGAACTTACACCAAAGCCAACTTTTCTTGGCATACTCCAGCACAGTTTGCCATTAAAACATGGCCCTTGTATGAAACAAATAAACGTGTGAAATTGTACATTCTTTTCGGTGGTTTGTAACTCTGCAACCTAGCCATGGCCTGGCCTGGGTACCCTTGCGCTGTTCCTTCTTGAACTCTGCATTCTTTTGCTTTTCTTTTGCCTTCTCTTCCTTCTTCCTTGCCTCCTCTTGCTCCTTCTCTTGACGTTTCTTTTTTTCCTCTGGTGTCTCTTCCTTTTTGTTGGCTCCGTCCTTCCCATTCTTTCCTCCCTTAACAGCCTTGCCTTTGCCTGTCTTCCTCTCTTTCTGGTCCTGGAATCGATGGAATCGAGAATTGCCAGGGCATCATGATGGATCCGGATTGAATTACAAATTGACAGATGCATTTGAAGGAGTCAACATCAGTTCAGAATCATCCATAACCCATGACCTGTGACCTGGTTTTTTTGTCACAGGCAATAAACACCCTGCACACCCACCAGCCTCAGATTCTGGAGCTGAAGCCGACGAAGCTGAACTGGACTCTGAGTCAGAGTCTGACTCTGAGCTCTGAGAAGACGACGACGACTTGCGATTCTTCTTCTTCTTTCCCTTGGCCTTCTTGCTATGCTTTCCCCTGGCAGTCTTCTTCTTCTTCGAGCTCTTCTTCTTGCTTTTCCCGGAATGCTCAGACTCACCCTTGCCCTCCGCAGCTTCAAAAAGTTGAGTCGTCACCAAGTCCTGCGTTTCTTCGATAGCGTCCTTGTCCCACACTAGATACTGCCGGGTCTCCTGGGCGGTCAGTGAAGCAGGCATGTTAATTCACATGTCAGGACCCCTGACAGAAGCACTCTCTGCAAAACCATAATTAATGACCATTTCTTTCATGCAACCTAGATTCCTCACAGTCATGCCCGTGGCAGTCCGGGTTGGATCTGACATGTGTTGGAGCCACATCCGGGTGCATCTTCGCAGCGATGATGCTGTCCACCACTGCCTGGCTGCCATACTTCTGGAGCAACTCGGCTCTTGTGAGCCATCTGCGGGATCCAATCTGGCGATGCCGAGATTTGGAACGGATTTGCATGACAAAGTCTGATTGGGCCCAGCAACCATCGCAGGCAGTCCACTGTTCCAACAAGACCTGAAGGCGGTCCGTGTTCCGGAACGCCGCCGCTCCGGCTCTCCTCACCTCGATAGGTGACCGCTTGCCTCAGCTGATTGGGGTACTGGATGACTTTGCTACACAAGTTATTGGCTCACTCCCTAGGTTTATTCCCTGGCCATGGAATCGACAATTGAGTCAAAGAATGCTTCTCAATCAAGATGTAAGGTACTCTTCAAAGAACGTGAGAAGCGCATGAATGTCACGTTTGGCCTTTGTGATATTTTCACGCTTAAAACGATCTTCCTCATCCTCCTCGCTTGATTCATCAGCATCGTTCTCAGGTTCCTGAACAGCAGGAGGTTCTGGTGGGGCAGGATCACTCGTTGCTTTTCTCTTGCATGCCTCCTGTGGGACTGCCAACTCACTGGTCGAACTCCTACCCAAGCACTCTGCCACAACTTTGGCAGTCCGTGGTGTAGCCAAAGGTGGTTCCTCCACAACTTCCTCCTTGGTAGAAGGCGGCTTTGCTGCAGCTTTCACAGCCGTGGCAACAGGACGACAATCCTGGATTGTCTGGCTCTGGACATTCCTGGGCAGCTTCGGCTTGGAAGACAGGTCCTCAGTGGCATGTTTCCTCTTGATCCTCTCAACTGGTGTAGTTTGCGCTGCTTCCCTTCGAGCTGCCTCAGTCTTTTCCTTTGCCATTCGCTTTGCATCTTCAGTGCGTGCTGCTACGGTGGTAGCATCCGAGTCTGGCCAGCGTTCGGGCGGCCGGTTTCATATCAATATGAAAGACCCTCACTACATTGGGCTGGTGAGGTTGAGATGCCACTAGAATGACAGGACCTGTAAGGACCCTTTGAAATTGTTTCTCAATTTGTTTGAACACTGCGTTTCATTCTTGTGGCCTCTCAACCCTCTATTGGTTGGCTCAGTTCGAAGACGTTTGATTGAAATAAGTTTTTTGGAAACAGGGAGAAATGTCTTTATAAGCCGACAAATTTTACAAAGCATTCTCCCCATATGGTCTACTAAGTACGATGCTTCGATTGTATATTGGCTACACGCCAAACTATGTTTTTGTCCAATCGACAAATTGCTGAGGTTCAGTGATTCAGTGCAAAATTTGGCAAGAATATAACACAACTGTCAATCATCGGTATCAGAAGAACACATCCTTCAATCACTATTGAAACCAGCAGTTCACTATGGATTTTGACCCCAACCGTTGGCCCAGGCTCCCTCTCCTGTTATACACCCTGGCCTGCTTCTGGTGCAACTTTTCGAGGCTTGACACGTCGCTCGCCATCATGACCACCATCCGTTGACGTCCTCTATGGAGCATACATCATATGACTGGTCAGGTCTAGCACTAAGAACCTCCACTGACCCATCAAGAGGCCACCAACAGTGTTAATGCAGTGATGAGGGATCACAATTCATTCCAACTTCAATTGATCCAATGTCCTGGGCGTCACTGGAGCTGGTTCAGCCGGGAGTGCTCGCGCCGCTCGTTGAGCAGCACGCTCCAATGCTGATGCAACCCTATCGGTCGCCACCATGTCAGCCAAACAATGACCTGGCTTCACCCCGCGAAACCTGATCCTTTTGCCGCGGGCAGATGTTGAAAGTGGCCAACAGGGCAATCAATCAAACACATAGTTTCCGCACAGTGATTCGAGGGTTTTTGGGGGGGTTCGTCGTTCACGCTTTAAAATGTCCTTTCACGGTCTGAAATGTCCGTTCACGCTTTGTTCACGCTCTTTCACGCTTCTTTCACGGTCCTGTTTTTGTTTGCAACCCTCCGTACATGTACCGTTCGGCAACGATTTGCTTGCACTCTTGGTTGAATTAACCCATCCCTCCAACACACCCAACATCCATTTTCACACTAGCATGAACACCTCAGATTTCCGTGGCACAGGTCAAAACCAGCTCATACAACAAGTATAGTGTTCAGTATTAGTCCATGACTTGTGGATGGTGTTGATGGTGTTGGTAGGATGTCATACCATTGGCATTGCTAGAAATATCATGATCAGGCCAAGAACAACCTTAATCAAGGCCTTCACTGATGAGTGGGTGATACCTACCAGCTGCTTTTTCAGCCACCAAGAAGTCCTTCAATTGAGATAGGCCGGCATGACGCCAGTTGTAAGGGGCCTCCCATCACAAGATCCCAGGCTAGGTCCAGGTGAGCCATCTATGAATATCTACATGGTGACATGTCTTGACTGACAAGTGGGCATCGGTCCACCCGCCTTCGGCACCCTTTTCAATTTCGCTGTGTCCAGGTTGCCGTTTGGATAAAGTGCACTCTCCAAAGTCGACTTGCCTGGCTCCTCAGAAGCGCTCTGTTTGTATGGTGAATTGAGGATGCACTGGAAGTGCAAATTGGGATTTGTTGTGATTTCCAGCACAGCTCCATCCTTGATTAGCAGTTAGTAGAACCAAGAAGCCATCCACTGGGTGTGAAAAGAAGATATAGCACGTCCATAGCCCATAGGATAAACCTGTGAACTCTTGAGTCGGCTGTTGCCACACCTTGGCATGAGACTGGTTTCAGGTTTCAGTATTCACCCCACAAAGTAAATCAACAGGTGCAAATAGCAGGAAGTTAGCATTTAAGGTTTGCACACACGAGTCTTCCCGTTCTTGTCAATGTATTTCCGAACCACTGGCTTGGCCTTCCGAATTCGCTTTCTCACACTCTTTGTGAGAGGCACGCGGAGTCTGTAGGACCAGGGCCTCACCCAATCCATGGACCAGTGATCAAAACCAGGGTTACACTTTTCTGACCACAAGTGCTAAAGGCATGTGAGGCATCATGGTTGAGAAATGTTGACAATGTTGAGGCTCTGAGTTCCAAGCGCAGTCCCAAAAACGACAGTGGGCTTCATGTTCTTATGGCCATAGGATGCCATGCTACTTGGCCAGCAAAAAAGAAACGTATCACTGGGTCACTCCAAGGAAAGGAGTTTAGGTTTGGTAAGGTCTCACTCAAATGAAGAGTCCAAGAAAAAAAGATTAAAAGTAATCCCAAATGAAGCCATGCCATATTTGTCTTGGAACATCTGGGAACTAAGACAGGCACAATCTGGTGACCAACCATGGGATGAAGAGACCAACGATTTTGGACAGCCATCGCACATATGGAAACAGCATCATGATCGTGCTCATTGGCTGCTCCACCAGGAACATCACACCCCTGGTGAACCCAAGGAGGAGCAGCAGGACCAAGCGTGTGGTGATCCTCAGAGTTGCTCCAGTTGCCAAATGTTGCAACACTGGCCAAAGTATTTTGTGATAAACAGACTATATGCCAGTGTCCAATAATGCTCAACAGTCTCAGCTTTGATAAATCAGTCCAAAAGGCATGTTAGCTTGTTTGACGTAGTCAGCTCTGCCGCCCAATGGCTTTGACTTGGTCCGTTTGCTGGTGAAAGAGTTTATGAAAACAAACGACCCGCATGGAGGGCCGGCCGTGATAAGACCATCCTGCTGCGTCTGCAGGATCAACTGGATGGACCGAAGAAAGCCCGGCCTGGCAAGACTCTGGGCGTTCAAATTTGGGAGATCTTGGGAGCAAGCTGGGTGATCTTGGGAGCTGGCACTGTCGTAATATCGCCAAACTCGCCATGAGACTCTTTGTCATATGCTTTCCTGGGAGATGCACTTAAAAATAGGAAAATGACGTCCCTTGATCATTACAGTCGGTGTAGCACACACACACTGTTTGCACTAGGAATCTGGCGATCTGAAACCTCCCATGCCTGAGTGAAAGAAGCACTATTTGTTGTGGGGTCTTCGAAAACAAAACACGGCGTCAAGCAACCCATCTAAGATTTGCACTAAAGGATCGATGGATTGCACCCTGCCCAGAGAACAGGTCAGTGTTCACGACATCCTGCATGCAACAATTAGAACTCGCTGGGTTGCTTGGTGAGAGGAGCTTTCCAAGCCCAAGAAATGTTCTTGGTTAGTCATCAAATGTTTGCAACAATCTCAGCTGCAAACCCTCATGTTTTGAATTGCAGATGAGTTCTCCACCACATAGTCGATGCAATGCAAACTAGGTATCACAGCATCACCAAGTTCATTCAGAATGGTTGCCAACCACCAATCAAAAAACAATTGGAATCAATCTCCCAACTCCAAGCTCAAATGTTCAATTGTTATTGCGCTAGCTGCAAACGCCTTGGTGCAGCCACGTGGCAACACCAGCGGCGCTCCAAGGAGTAGCAAAAGCTGAGAAGAACGAGCACTTAAGGACAGAGGGGATGGCTTGGTCTTCTGATGGGCAGGCATGGCTTTTTGCTAAGTCTAAAGTCCACCCACCTACACAAAAAGGCTAAGGGACACACGAAATCTTTCCACAGCTGCAATTGCTCAAAGACAGGGTGTGCAATATATTGGGTTTCTTCTTGCACCATAAATAGACGAAAGCACTTTTTGGCCAAGGTGCCAGGGTGAGCTGTCAGTATGCGCAGACTCACGGGCATTGTGGCTCAGTGTTTCATGCGAAGGCGCACGAAAACAACACTATCTGGATATCCCAAAAGGATTGCAGCTAGCCGGGGGCCAAACCACCACAGGCAGCATAGGCAACCGTTTTGTTGAAATGGGAGTGCTCATGTTTGTGTTGAGTTGAAGCTACATCTTTGGTTTCCAAAAGGATTGCTTGCACCCCTTATGCTAGCTCATCGCAAAATAAGTCCCAACTAGCCAGCGCTTGTCAGCTAAGTCCCTGTAGTCTAGGACCCCTCACCAGCGGATTCCCCGTTTGAATCTGCCGAGTCAGGGCAGGGAGTCCAACCAGCATAGTGCATTGCCATTTTCCACCTGAGTTCGAAACAGTACTTCTCTAAGACAGCTAGAGCTCAAAAAAGCTTCGTTGACTATTCGAACTTGCAATTCTCATAGACTTTAACAGGTGTCCTGCATTACCTTGTTTGGCACCAAAAAGGAGTAGTCCAGGACACTTGTCCAATTCTGCTGAAACTATCATGTTGAATAGTCAGGGCCTTTTGGCAAACCTATATATAGGATTATATAAGAACAGCATATTTTTAGTTTAAGTGGCATACATGTTTGACAGAATCTAGATGTGCCTCAATCAGTTGACTGCTTAGGCTTCCACTGGTTGATCATGCCCCCTTTTGACCATGCCAGAGACAAACCTTTGGCCACTTGGTCCTTGGGCAACACCATGTCGTATCAAGAAGAGGCGGTCTATCGCACACAACAACAGCCA